TAGAAGATAGAAGAATGTTCAAAGGATAGTCAGGAAAGACCACTCAGGGGGAGCAGACACATGAGCTGAGACCTGAATGACGAGAAAGAGTCAGACAGGTGAAGACTAGCAGGGAGACAGTTTCAGGCAAAGGTAACAGCTAGTGCAAAGGCCCTGAGGCAAGAAAAAAAAAAAGAAAGAAGGTTGGTCTTGCCAACTTGGACTGAGTACAGAGGAGATGAAGTGTGAGGTGAGGCTGGATGGTGCTCAGGGTAACAAGTCTGGATTTGATTATATTATGTTGTTGTATTTAACATGGTTTTGTTTTCCTCCTGATATAGCTGCGTGAAGTTACCTTTTTGCATTTTGCTTTTGGACATCTCTTTTATTATTATTGTGAACTAGTTCTTATATCTTTTTTTGCTTTTAATATTTCATGTGTTTACGCTTTCACCGTCTTAACAGTATATAATCTCCTAAAGGCCAAGGATTATTTATTGGATTTCTTTGTATTTCCTAGCAAAATCCTTTGCCTGAACAGTCAACAGAGATTGCATTGCTTTGAAACCTATCTTTTGGAAAATCTACATTTAGCCCGGTTTGTGAGTTCTATATAAAGAAATAAACTTTCTTCTGCCTTTCTGCCTTCTACGCCTCTGTGCACATGTATATTTTATAGTCAAATAGTTGGCTTAGCTATCCCTTAGTCTGCATTCCTGCATAAGTGATCTGGAAGGTTCTTTACCTATTTGCTAAATCTTTCATTTCTGGAAAACATGTTTTGAGACATCAGGGAAATATGTTTAAAAGTCCTCTTGTAGATTTCTATTGTGCTGGAAAGTTCTGCGAATTGGATCTATCTGAACATTTCAAGTTTTACTTGGAGATTCTTTTTTCCATTACTTGATATAAGCCTAGTGCTTTCTCCATGGATCTTGTAATAATATTATTGGTGATAGAAAACATACCGTTAATTATGTAATGCCATAATTATTGACACAGAAATAAAAGGATTCAAGGCATTTCTCTTTCCTCAATGAATTAGCTTCTGTTAATGTTTCCAGAAGTACAGAAGCTTGCCCCATGCTTCTCATTCCAAATAAAATGACCATCTTAAAATAATGTTCATAAATAAATACACCTAAATATGGGTATGTTTGAAATAGAACCAACCTCCTAATACAGTAGCAACCGTGGCTATCAGCATGCTTTATGCAGCCTGGGATAGTGGCAGCCAGCCAGCATATTATCCTCTAATCCATTGCTAGTCTACCTCCTAAATGTTATAAATATTCATGTATGCCATAGAAAGCTACAAAGGGCTTTATTCAAACATTTTTTTGAATACTCCTTTATGTTTTCCCCAAATGAAAGAATGTCTGCTTTTTTTTTTTCCTTTGCATAAGGATCAGAGTGTGAATTCTCTTTTGTTCATACTCATAAATCCTGAAAACCAATATGCAACAAATTCTCTAATCCTCATTTCATACCTCAAGGCTAAAAAGGTTCAAAATAAAAATACTTAGGGCTGGCACAGTGGTTCGCGGTGTCTGTGCGGTGCTGCCTCCAAGAACAGGCATCTGTGTTTCTGGCTACCCCGGTGACTTCTGTCCCTGGCAGGGGCTGCCTCCGGGGAGACCGCCTCCCAGCCCCACAAAGGCGGCCAGCTCGGCTCACCACCTCGGCCTGGCGATGAATGACTGGGAAATGGCGTGGATGCCAACCTGAAGAGAGCTGTCTCCTTCCCCGAGACCTACGCGGGCAGCAGCAGCCACTGGTGGGAGTTGTAAGTGGCAGTGGTGGTGCTCTGGGGGCGGGGCGTGGGCAGGGGTGGCGCTCTGGGGGCGGGGCGTGGGCAGGGGTGGCGCTCTGGGGGCGGGGCGTGGGCAGGTGTGGCGCTCTGGGGGCGGGGCGTGGGCTCGTTTACGGGGAGAGAAGGTTGGAAAGCTGACAAGTGCCAGGTCGGTCCAAGCCAGGTTTAAAAAGCACAATCAAGTCTTTTTGAAATTCCATGTCATTTTCCAGTAACATCGAACTCACAAAAAGGCAATCGTGAAATTAAACTTTCTCACGGTGTGACTTACCAAATGAAATGAAGTTTACAGTTGCTGGAGGGGAGCGTTAACAGTTCTCTTTCAGCATCCTTTCTCTCTTCTCTTTCATAGTAGTAGAATGCCCTAATTTTTAGTGGGGTATGTGGATACCCCAAATAAGGGCCACATGTCCTAACTTTCCTTTCATGTGACTAAGTTTCTGGCCAGTCAAACGTGAACCAAATGGTGAGTGCCACTCCGGGTCACGTCCTTATAGGGAAGAAGCGTGTCCTCGCCTTCTCCCTCTCCCCTTCCCTTCCCTCCACCTGACATGGCGTGACGGTGGTCTGCCATCGTGAACCGTGTGGATGGAGAAACGGCAAGAGAGGAGAAGCCTGGAACCTCGACCGCTTCGGGAGCCACCACACTCGCTCGGACATTCACATGGCAAAGAAATATACTGAGCTTGGGTAAGCCATTGTTAATTCAGGTTTCTGCTATCACAGCGGAACTGCTATCTCAGCCGTTCAGTTGCTTTTAAGTTAAAGTGTAATCTTTCTGAGAGTGGGGTGTGAGAAGTAGGGTGTGAAGGGTCTCTCCTCACAGTGAGGCGTGTAAGAGCCCACTGCTGTGGGCATGGAGTGGAGAAATGGGGGAGGGGAACTCTCTCAGCAGCCATCAGATACGACTCTTCCTTTGAAGGTTATGGATGCCACACCAAGATCTAAAAGCCCAGAGGAAACAACTTTCATTCTCCTTGACAGATATTTTTGCTATCTTGTTTGTCCTGTTCTGTTCACTTTAATGATCAAAAGTTCTAAAGCTCAGTCAACTCTTTAGGAAACTCTGCCTTCTACGCCTCTGTGCACATGTATATTTTATAGTCAAATAGTTGGCTTAGCTATCCCTTAGTCTGCATTCCTGCATAAGTGATCTGGAAGGTTCTTTACCTATTTGCTAAATCTTTCATTTCTGGAAAACAGGTTTTGAGACATCAGGGAAATATGTTTAATTCTCCATACTAATAAGTGAACAAAGAATGTTTTTTTACTTTGATCAAAAAAGCATTATTAAACTGACAGTATTAGAGATGCTCGTATTCTGCCCCTGGAGGGGAACACTGCTGAGGAAATATTTGCCCTCTAGCACAGGGTGTCTTTGAAGAGTGTGGACTCCTATGCTCTTTCCTAACAAGCTTAAGGCATGGAAACCAATTCCCCAGCAATCGCTGGACTTCTTCACCAGGCCGGGCTTGCATTAAGCTCATTCCCAAAGCTGGATGGTGTGATCCTTACAGATCACTGCAGGATGTTTCTAGCTCTCCTGGAGTTGTGTATACCAGCTGAATTTCAAGAAACAAGTAGAAGAACCATTTTCTGAGAAGAATTCTGTAGCACTACGTATGGCTTAAAGGAATACTTATATACTCTGGATTGATCAACAATCTCCAGACATAGATGGAGCAGGCAGGACCCCCATTTTCTGTTGGGGAAACTGACCCACAGAGAAGTTAAGAGATCGCTACAAAGGAATGAAGCTGAGAACCAAGCCTCATGTTTCCTGAACTCCCAGTCCTGAGCTTTTCCTGCAGATCCATATTCCCCACTGCAAACCATAACCCAGGGCAGATGCTTACCCACACAGAGATAACACTGTAACACCCCAACCATCCAGGCCTCAGCCAGAGGATTTAGATGACAATGGAGCATTCCATGAACTTGCACTGTGTAGCTAAAGATAGGTTTTGGCATGACCTGCTTTATTGCTTCACAGAACATAAGAAAATAAATGGCAAAGTAACTCCTGCCACATCACAGCTTTTTCTTTTTTTTTTAAGAATTTATTTATTTGAGGGCGCCTGGGTGGTTCAGATGGTTAAGTGTCTGCCTTCGGCTCAGGTCATGATCCCAGGGTTCTGGGATCGAGTCCCGCATCGGGCTCCCTGCTCCGCGGGAAGCCTGCTTCTCCCTCTGCCTCTCTCGAATAAACAAATAAATAAAATCTTAAAAAAAAAAAGAATTTATTTATTTGACAGAGAGAGACACAGCGAGAGAGGGAACACAAGCAGGGGGCGCAGGAGAGGGAGAAGCAGGCTTCCCGCTGAGCAGGGAGCCCGATGTGGGGCTCGATCCCAGGACTCTGGGATCGTGACCCGAGCCAAAGGCAGACGCCTAGTGACTGAGCCACCCAGGCGCCCCCACAGCTTTTTCTTGATGAGGGGAGCTGCAAACTACCAAATATATGCCAGTTCCACATCTGTTACTTTTTATTTATTTATTTTTATTTATTTATTTTAAAGATTTTGTTTATTTATTCATGAGAGACAGAGAGAGAGAGAGAGGCAGAGGGAGAAGCAGGCTCCCAAGGAGCAGAGAGCCCGATGCGGGACTCGATCCCAGGACCCTGAGATCATGACCTGAGCCGAAGGCAGACGCTTAACCATCTGAGCCACCCAGGCGCCCCATCTGTTACTTTTTAAAAATTTGTTTTTGGTTATGAAGAGTCCCAAGTTCCTTCTCTGAACTTGGGCAAACTTTATTTATTTATACATTTAGGTGAATACTCCGTAAAAAGGATCTGCAGTGGAGTTGCCTTTTACCTACATGCACTAAAGTCAGGCCCAGCAGATAAACAACTCAAAGGCATCCTGGGGAAGTCTAGCTCTAGGAACCTTACAACAAAACAACAACATGGAAGTCACTCTGGAACATTCGTGCATTTTAGCAACAGGCAGCCCAGGACCAAGCACACAGCATAAAAGCTAGCAGCTGCTGTGAGCTGAGGCACAAATACCACTCACTTTTACAAAAGAGAACTGACAGACTAAAATAGGTAGCCAATTTGAACCAAATCTTTCAAAACTCCTTTATGCGTAACTACCTTTTTAACGTGGCGCCATATATGAAAAGTATTTCCTTTATCAGTACAAATGCAGATTTTATTTTAAAGAAAACAACATTGTGGTTAAGGTTATAATATCGTACGTACCATTTTTTCGAAGTTTACTAGATTGTCAATGAACGTCTTGTTCCCCTCATGAGTAAATGTCATATCTGCACAGAAATAAAAGTCACATTCTAATTACTAACAGAAATATGTCATACCAAGAAACCACAATAGCACCATTAGATTATGCTGGAGGATTTGCATAACACTGCAGGTGAAAAAAGCTGATAATAGTTCCTTTTATATTGGGTGTTTAACTTTTGAAAGCATTTTACCTGAGATTAGTAAAATTTCCAAACTAACCCTCTGTTTCACCATCAAGTCTTCCAATTCATAGATCCTTGCTCCTCTGATAAATCTTCCCAACCCTTTCCAAAAAGTCAAGGGGGAGAGGAGGTGATGAAGAAGGGGGAAGGAGGGGACCATTTTTTCCAAAGAGCTCAGCCTGATTAGGCTCTTGTTCATTTTCTTCCCCACACATTCCTTCCTGGCTTGACCTGTGCGTTTCCTTAGAATTACCTTTAATGAGCAAAGGCATGAAGGGGATGAGAGGAGGCTCCAGCTTAGCTACTGTCAGCCTGTAGGCTCTGTGGTTTCTAGAAGGATCCTTTAGAGAAACAGAGAGATGCTGGTTAATGATTAACGACACACATCCCACCCCCTCTACTTCCTAACCCACCTAGACTTGTTACCCCCCAGATAGTTTTCAACGAACTGTAGCTATAAGAGAAAGGTAGTTAAATTGATTTTTGTTTTAAAACAACTTCCCGTCTGACATGAAAATTATTTGCTTTTTGTTTCCTTTTTTTGCTTGAGAGGGAGATCTGCCTGCAGGGATTGAGGGGAGAGATTCCCTTTGCAAGCAAACACGTGTAAAACCGCCCCCCTCCACAAGATCCCCCCCGCGAAGCACCACCTCCTTCCTGGGAACACGCCCCCCCGAAGCACCGCCTCTTTCCTGGGAGTTCCGACTCCGCCTGCTCCTCTCCGCCTTGCCCCGCCAGCCCCCTGTGCCCTCTCTGAAACCATCCCATCATTCCTACCAGCTCCCACTCACTTCTGTCTGTGAATACCTCCCAGCCAATGGGGAACAGTAATTTTGGCAAGGCAAGGAAAATACAGCTTCCAACCCAGAGCCCACCTGTACTAGGCGGAAAGGATCCTATTACACTGCTTTTCTTAGTTACACAAATTGACCTTATGTGGGACATAAGTCCTCTTTAAGTTAGCTCCTGAGGGTGCCGTTCATTAGTCAGACATGCTTGTTTTAGCAGCACTAAAACGGGATCATAAACTTCTTAAAGTCATACAAGGACAGGTAAAATTTCTGAAATGAGAACTTCAATTCAGCTAATCAGAAATTAGATTAATGCAGACAGTGAACAGAATAAAGGAGTCACTGTCACTTACCATTAAACTTTCAAACTCCGCATAGAACTTCTTGAACTTGCTTGGCAGTTTCTGTTAATGAAACGAAAATGCCACACTCACATGTCAGATTCGATACCTAGATATGTATCATGTGTTACCATTACTAGGGGAAATGTATTTCTTCGGCTCTTAATCAAACATCTCTAAAAAAGGCCAGGCTGTAATCTGTCTTAGCATTTGAGCATCATCTGGAATATAAAGAACTTACCTTTTAAAACTCTTAACTTTGTTGAAACAAAAGTTAACTACAGATGCTTTGGTCTTACTGTTTTTATAATGTTTTCTAATTATTCATACAGAGGACTGCATTCTCAGACCACAAGTGGTTTGGAATTACCTCCTCCCACACCTTTTAAACTCTCTGATTCCCACAATTAGGACTTCAGACCAGAGAATAGTAGGATTACAAGTTTTAGAAACTACCTATTCAATCCTCCTTTAACCTTACAATGTAAACTGCACAAGAATAGAAATTTTTATCAGTTGTGTTTCTTTATCCCCAGTGCCTGGACGAGTGTCAGGTACGTAGTCACTGCTCCATAAATATTTATTTGAATAGATTAAACCTGTGTTTTATAGATGGAAGAAATTAGGTCTCACAGTTTGTGACTTGCCCCAAGTCGCACAGCTGATGACGGTCGAGCCTCTGGAATTCGCATCACCTGCCTCCTTTCTACCCCTCTCTCACATGCTCTATGCTTTTCCACACAAGCATCTCCCCACGTTATTTCTCCACCCTGCTGTCATAGGAACACAGACGGTTCTACCGCTGTGGTTCCTGATTCAGCGCTGCTGGCTGTACCCACATACCAACGCCAGTCGGCCATTATCAAGCCACCTTTCAATCTATTGGTTCTCTCTTTGCTTAGGTCCTGAGATCTTAGAAATCCTGAACTGTTCTCTTCTGATAGGCCACACCAAGGCAGAGCGGCGTGATGCGTCTCTGCTCCCGAGACTGTGGAAGCTTTGAGCGAGTCCTAGGCCTCAGAGATTCCCAGCTCAGCTCTGCTTCCCGCACGTAAGTCTACTGGCAACAACGGATTCACCAATTAGGTCTCTGTACTCACAGAAGAGCGCCTCTCTCTTCCTTCTCTCTCATGTCTGAATTAGTTTGTCATATTCCCATTTAAAATCTGTAAAAAATCTGATTTTGTTTCTAGGACTAGTCTCCCGCATGTCCTCCAAGCTCATTTTCCTAGTACTGCTTTTCAAGTTAGGTTTCGGGGAAAGATGATATCCTTGCTCAGAGGCAAAGTCCAAAGGGATGAGAGCCGGGATGGGCATCCAGGGATGCAAGGATCTCAGTCCACACGTAGTATCCAAATCACCTCATTAGACGATAACTTGCCATGGACATAGACCACTTTAAAAATTACAAGTGAATTACATTTTTGGTTAGATCTGTCACTCTACCTCTCTTTCTTTACTTAGCTGGCTTTTGGGTCAAAGGCAGGACGGCATACAGTAATCCAAATTTTTGTGGGTCTTAATACTATAATCTATGTAACACAGTGCTTCCAGAGAGATGGTTCTCAACTGGGGTTAATTTTGCAACCCTGACCCCACATCCACCAGGGGACATTTGGTGATGTCTGCAGACATTTTTTATTGTCACAACTGCGGTGGAGCAGAGAGGTGCTACTGATAGATAGTAGGTGGAGGCCAGGGAGGCTGCTAAGCTACACGGGACAGCCCCATAATGAAGAATTATCCTGCCCGCAGTGTTAACGCTGCCAAGGCCAAGAAACCGCTCCAGGATTTTACTCCCACTTGCTTGATGTCAGATTGGTCTTTCATTCCCAGGCTGAACCATTGCCTTTGCCATGCGGTTTAACTTTCCCCCCGTTTTGTTCACTGACAGTTTCACGTGTGTTCTGTAGTTCCGGGAGGTCGGGCAGCATTTCTCACCCTGTTCACGTCCGGGCCCTCCTGCTCTCCGCCCGAGCCGTTGGGTAGCCCGGGAGGTTCTCCGCAAGTACAGGTTGAGAAACCCAAATCAAAAATGCTTACGAATGAAAGCGCTTCCTACAGGATGATATAATTACATTTCACCTTAAAGAATAGAGACTTATAAATGAGGAGAGGTTCATCTTCTCTTTCAGCAACATGCAAGGATGAGAACAGTAGCTCGCAGACTGATGTGCTTCTTCACAGTCCCCGTGAAAATGAACGACTGGTCAGTTAACTCTCTCCTTCTGCGGACTGCACCCTCCTGCCCCCTAAGCAGCCTCCAATTTTTCTCTTTAGACCAAGAAAGGAGACTCTGATAGTGCCCCCCTCATGCTAAGGCCTTATACCTTCTTTGATCTTCCCCACCAAATCATTTGGACTCTGGGGGGGCATTAGAAGCTGGAAAAAGGCTGGGGAAGGCAGACTCTCTGCGAGGGAACCCTAGGTTTCCAGAGATCCCAGGAGCCTTGGCCTACAAGACAGGGGAGCCTGCTCTATGGCTTCCTTGCTTCGATCTCGTGGCAGCCCTAACTCCGTCTGTTTACCAGCTGGAAGGTGATACAGCGGCGTGGCCCGCAGGCCTCACCAATTCCCTCATTCCTATATTCAGGGGATGAGCTGCTGTGTGCTGCACCTGCCTGGAATTTTAAGAGAAACCCAAGACAGAAGAACTTGTGAGGACCTGTCCTATAAACAATGGAAATATTTAGGAGGGACAGAGAAAGGAAACAGTTTCAAGAGGGAAGCGGGGAAGGAAATGTTTTAAGGAAAATATTTAGAGATGCAAACATCTGCCTTTGGTGCCTTTTTAAAGCACTCTTGCAAATTAAGTCTCTGTTATCTACTCCTTGACCTCTTTTTGTGTCCCACTTACACATACTTTTTTATTTTTAGTAAGAGTCTATTTTTGTGTGTATGTTCCATGAGAGATTAGTATTTCTTCAACTATATACCACATGTAAGGGGTCGGGCACATTTTGAGTACTTAGCTGATGAAAAATGAAGATGTTTAGCACAAATAACCAACTGTCAACAAACCACTAATGATACTTGCTCCAGAAATCCACAACACACCTGCATTACTTTTGCCCCAACCTGAATATTAGCCAACTCTTGTTCCTCCATACACAGAGAGGTCGGCCAGGTGGTTAAGAGATACTTAGTACTCAGCTGGGCCAAACAGTTGGCCTTCTGGCTAATTTTCCCTGGAGCAAAATGACTACTTGGATAAAAATGGATCTTCTGTCCTCTCTTAATTACAGATAAGGCAATAAGCAGACATTCCAGAAAACACCAGAATCCATGAGCAAAACCTTTGAAATCATCCAACCAATGTTGTCGATTCATGTTTTACCTAGGAACTAGATGTATTATTATTATTTACCTTGAATAGACCAAGCTGAGACCCCCCACAAGCTCCCCCCACCCATGAAAGGACAATATCTTTTTAAATTCACACTCTCAGGCAACTGGAAAAAGAAGACAGGTCACTTCCCTCAAAGTGTCCCACCTTTTCCATTGTTATACCAGTGTGAGTGATATTTCTATTAAAAAAGCTCACTGGTGAGCCTGTGTTTTTATTCTTAAGGCAAAAGTCACAGCTGGATCTCAGCTGAAGCTTACCTCCCATGTGAGCGCCAAGCGGCTCACAGCAACATTACTTAGTCCCATGACGATGGCAAAAAAGGAATTCAGATTTTTGTACTCCTTACAGCTGAAACACAAGAAGCACATGGCTGAGTAAAATGCCACTTTTGAGTGCGATTAAAAAAAAAAATTAGAGTTCTATTTTCTGATAGTCATTAATATTCGTCAGGACTCGTTACGAGAACAGGCAATGATAGATTTAATGCACTGTGTAAGTTCCACTTGGGTGACCACGTTCAGCCATCTGACTTCCCACGGTAATTTTAGAAAGGTGATGGTTCCGGCTATCTAGGTTCAGGTTTTGAGAAGGAATTTAAAGACCCCTACCCTAGGGATTGTTAGGATGATCTCAGAGCTTCCTAAAAGCCTTGTTGAACCTGGAAGGAAACAGCTCATGGGATAAGAGAGGGAAGCAAAATGTCGTTAAAGACTTTTGGACATTGAGCCAGAGGCTGGGCACCTCCTCTGTCAGACTGAGAGGGAACGAGGAAGTCCGACTGCTGCAGCCACCGAAACGTCTGCCTGCCATGAGAATGCTTCTGATTTGTTGAGAAATACCAACTTACAAGTCATGATCCCTATGAAGCTGACAAAGAACCTAAACAATTGACCAAAAAGTAACCTTATTGTCTCTGTGTTTTACTGATGTCGATGAGGCTGATCACTTTGAATGTGTACTAAGGCAACTATTAGCCTTCATGAATATATATTTGGGAATAAGAATGTTATGGAAGAAGATCAAAGATTCTTATTAGAATGGCAATATTTAGCCCAGGTACTTGATTTAACTTAAAAAAAAAAAAAAAGAAAGAAAAAAGAAGGGAATCCCCAACTTCTTCATACCTGTTCCTCGAAAAGGGAAAGAATTAATTTTGCAAAAAGTGCAAATCCTTTACCCCAAATCAATATGGTTATCTAAGTCAACTGCATCAGAATTAAATCCTGTTTGGATGAACAGTTTTGCGAAAGGCTAATGAAATTGTTGTTTTTGCTGCCCGTGTCTTCTTTGCAGAGGAAACAATGAGTGATTCTTAAATGGTCTGTGTGGAAAGAGGAATATCGATTTCAGAGAAGCTTTCAGGTGTCTTATCCCACTGGTGCTAAAGCAAGCAAGGCCTTTGCTGTGCTGGGGGCAGTGGCTCTCAGGTCAGGGGATGAAAGCAGTTTCAGAGACCTCCTGGGGCTGAAGGCAAGGAGTATGATCATGTACGCGTGTTTGCCTTTGTCCTGTCCGTGTGCTCTTGGAAGGACATGCAGGAATACAGACCTGCCTTTCTGGTCACTGCTCTGGTCACTGTTACCAACTAACTTCATCACCCTCGGTAAGTCACGAGCTATCCCCATGCCTCAGTCTTCTCATCTTCAAAAGGAGATAATAGCACTCGAACCCCCAATTTCTTTAAGCTCTGGGCAGGTCGGAGAGCTTACATGGAACTTGCTGAAGTTCTCTAAAAACACTGGGTGTAGATCTCGTTCTTGTAGACCTTGGTCTAGGAGAGTCTACAGCCTTCTCCAGCAGGGCCATGCAAACAGCTCCACTGCAGGACAGCACCAGCTTTGTAAAGGTTAAATAACACAAGCCAATTTATACCAAAGGCCAAAGCCACCTACTCATTCCCGTAATCAGAAGGAAGAAAGATAAAAAGGCAAAAACATTAAAAAAAAAATTCCCGAGTTTTTGAAAGGCTCTCTTTCAAAACTCTTTCAGTTGCCACTGTCAAATAACAGGATTAGGCCCCCAAAGGTTTGCTGATCTCCCACACTGGTGTGCAGATTGCCATTCTCTTCTTGTTGCGTTTAGCACTGCTGGGCTAAGGTGAAGAGAGAATGTGCTTTTTATAGCAGGAAAGCACATATCGTCACAGTTTCCATAATCCTCTCCTTCCAAATATGCGAAGGCACCTGTCCCTTGAACAAGGCTGTTCAGTCTCCTAGAAAAAGTGGCTATCCTTTGAACCAGAAATTCATAAGCAACATTTTACCAAATCTTTTTTCAAAAAGGCAGCTTTTCTAAATTAAGAGATACCAGCCTTTGAATCTGAGGATTTGGATATCCTGTTGAACCCTCCAATTTTTGGCAAAATAATTCGAAGCATTTGGCAAGCTGATACATATGAAATGTCAAGCAGCATTTACTTCTTTGTTTAGCTCTGGAAATCAAGACTCTGTATAGGATCTAAACTATTTGGCCCAAGAAAATTGCTAGCTGGGGTCACTTGTGCTCCCCACCTTCCTATGTGAGAGCTCCCTGCATTTAGAAAGAAGTCTCCCAGCCATGGGCCACATTTAGCATTTTATTTTTAGCCTTGTGTTGATACCAAAAACATGGAAGTAAACAGGAGGTTGTCAGGCATATCTAAATAGCAGGAGAAGATTAAATTCACGTCAGGGAGAAATCTAACTGGCCCCGGCAGTAAATAAATTGTTTCCCATGAAGTGCTACTAAATAGAATATTTATAAGTTGCTTGCTTTTTCTGATGTCGATGGAGATGATTTTCATGTCCCAGGTTAGCTCGCCTTTATTTATGCATTTTACTGATTTCATTCTGGCTGAGTTGGATGTGCCGATGTACATGCATGTTTCCACTGCCCTCTACTGGCCTGAAGGTGTCATGTGGGACATTGACTTGAAGGGCCTTCTCAACACAACTTTTCTACAACAGAACTTTGTTTGCTGAAGGACTCTTTAAGCTGGGGGAGGCACAAAGCCAGGGCAGTTCAGAGGAAACGAGGTCACGATTTTGACTCTGGCATCCATGCTGTAAGATGTTAATTTATTATATACTGATGTCCAGTATTACAAAAGCCAGATGAAATTAATCTTTTATAAGAGTTCAGTTATTCTTAAGCCCCTGTCATTGTTACTTGTGTATAAGGAGATCCTGTATCTTGCTTTTTATTTATTTATTTTTTAAGATGTAGCCTAATGGAGTAAAATGAAAATGCAGCTCAAAGATTTTTCTCTTCCTAAGCTAATGATACTTACTGGGCTGCTATCTTAATAAATTTTTTTAAGAGCTGAACGCGCTTGCTGGGCTGGGAACAAAGGCAAATCTCAGTGACGACCCAAAACTGAATTTCATTAAATCTCCTCAGGAACAAATCCAAGTTTGCTGTGGTCTTTTTAAAATTATGCCTTCCAAATGTGTGATAGATTAGCTCCAGCTAGAAAAGAAAAGAAAACAATTTTATTTCTTTGTTTCTCAATCAAAACACCAGCGAGGCTTCTCTATTTGTCAAGACAAGTTGACATCAGTCAGCAAATGTGAATCCAATCACTAGCCAGGATTCAAGCTGTACTACAGAGCGAGGGGGCTTCAGTGGGGCTTCTTAAATAGAGAATTATCAACGAGATACTATTGGTTTAACATACTGAGGAAGACTACTATAAATCATTACAATTTTTCTTTAAGACCCAAAGACTTTGTAACAGGCCTTATTAATAAGCTCAGTATTTGCACAAATGATGAAGTAGTCTCCATCATGCAGCACACATCAACATCTGCAGCTGAGCCACCTGGCAGGCTTCATCCAGAGTTGCAACGGTACCTGCTCACGCTCTCCACCGAGCACCTTACCTCGTGCACACAGTTGAAGAGTTCCCAATCATAGATTGTCATCTGGTACGCTAAATCTTTGGAGCTCATCAGTTCAAAGGTTCCCACTGTTCCGACAGTTGGGCCTTCCTGCTCTGGCAAGGGAGTCTATGAATAATAATGCAAAACTATATCAGAATCTCAGAACAGATAAGTACTTCATGCTGAATGCTTGAAGGAGTTTCTGAGGGTAAAGGATTCTGGAGACGCTTTCGGGAATATCTCGAAACTTTGGTTTTATCCAGAGGAGAAAGACACCTTTGCTCTTAATGCTCACTTGCTTCAGCACCGTCCTTAGCACCATCATCATCACTATCATCAATTTCACTGACTGAGAAACGTGGACCATGGCAAATAAGACTTGGTGAGGAGTGACCTATGGAGGTCCCCTTGCGCTTGGGCCCGGGAGATCCCTGGAAACAGTTCCTTTTCTCTGGTAAAGGTGTAAGAAGTCTTTGGAGAGGTTTTCCTCCTATTTTCCACTGCAGCTGTTCCGGAGCAGGTCCTGGGATGGCAGTTTTGGACATTTAACCACAGCACCGCTTACTGTTGCGGGGGCTGGTGATTGTGGTGACGTTGCTGCTTATCCAGCTCGCGTAACACACGGCCTGAGCTTACTGGCTCACCAAGGGCTCTGGGTGCTGACATTACACGTACTGGCCCATCCCTCCTCTCGGAGAGATGCTGGGCTGCAAATCATAGCCACATGGTCGCGGTGTTCTGGGCTAGGGCTGCAGGAAACCAAACTCTGCTACTTTCCGGAAGGCTCTCTTTCAAAACTTTCTACCTGACTCACTGGTCTCATTTGGCTTCCCTTAGTAAAACGAATGATTTGTATACTTTGGAAACTTATGTATACTATATGAACATTTATGGATCTGTAATATATGTCCAAAGTTACAAAAGGCCCATGGATTGAAAGAGGATTTCTCTAAAGTCATGCTAGCCACATTGGGATATTCGATATTTATGTTGGAAATGCTAATATTGTGCAAGTTCTATCATCATCATCATCATCATCATCGTCATCATCATTACATTCCATAAACACTCACTGCATTCTGGGCACTAAAGAAATGACACATTCAGTGGGATGCCTGGGTGGCTCAGTCATTAAGCATCTGCCTTCAGCTCAGGTCATGATCTCAGGGGCCTGGGATTGAGCCCCACATGGGGCTCCCTGCTCAGTGGGGAGTCTGCTTCTCCCTCTCCCTCTGCCTCCTCCCCCCCTGCTCATGCTCTGTCTCTGTCTCTGTAAAATAAATAAATAAAGTCTTAAAAAAAAAAAAGAAATGACACATTCAGGATGTAAGTGATCCCTACAAATTTACAGTCTAAGGGAGGGTTAGCCCTGACCAGAGAGTCCCTCTCGACACTCAATCAACAGTCAGCTGCTGGCATTCATGTGTGGGTATGAAGGACAGACAGAAGCATCAACACACACCTGATGCCCGGATACACGGATAAACGCGTGGGAGAACAGGAATGGGCTTTTTGAGAGTTAGTGGGTATTTCAAATGAATGCGTAGCCTGAAGACGTTCTTGGAGAAAGAAGCCAGGCTATAAAAGATTAAAGAGACAAACTTGGGTGGGTTAGAACAGCAAGGTCTCCTCTGAGCACCCAGACTGGTCTGTTGAAGGGTGGCTAGAGACACAGGAAGGCTAGAAAGCTGTCAGGAGACCTGTTTGTTGGAAACAGAGGGCCTCGGGAACCAAACAGACAGCTCGAACACCTTTAGAAAGTCTGTGAGTTCCAGACGAAGAGCTGGGGTTTTGCAATAGGGTAGCTTTCGAGGGCCACAGACTCCAAATGCAAACCCTACTCTAACTACACAGACTGGGATCGATTCCCTCATCTCTTGAATGTCTGTTTCCAGCTCTGGGAACTTGGTGTCGCAGTACTGGGTATGTAGGCTTCTTAACAAGATTAACTGGGAATAATGTCAGTGTATCACATAAGCAGAGTGCCTGGCACAGAGGAGGACCCCCCTCCCCTTCCAAACGAGTCCCCTCCCCCCATGTGCCACAGTGATGCAAATGCATGGGAAAGTATGGGATGTAAGAGCTAAGCACCATTGTTCCTGATGCGCCCTATGCAGGGCACAGAGAGTAAGGAACAAAAATATTTATTCCGTAGTTTTTTTTTTTTAATTTATTCATCTGAGACACAGAGAGATATATATATATATAGAGAGAGAGACAGCATGAGCAGGGAGAGAGGCAGAGGGAGAGGGAGAAGCAAGCTCCCTGCTGGGCAGGGAGCCCGATGTGGAGCTCGATCCCAGGGCGCTGGGATCATGACCTGAGCCGAAGGCAGACACTTAACCATCTGAGCCACCCAGGCGCCCCTATTCCGAAGTTTTGAAACTTAGGGAACCAACCTGAAGCTATGGGCAAGTAGCTTATGGAAACAAGTATGGAGAACGGTTTCAAGCAGGGTAGTCCTGTCAGGCGCAGACAGGCTCTGCGCACTCTGCCCCGTCTTGCAGCTGCTGCTATGTGCCCAGCCCTCTGCTCTACGCAGCTGCCCTCTTGCTCTCTTCCTCCCCAGCCTACCCAGCTTCCCATCTCTTTTCCTTGACACCTTACGGCTTTTCATAGAGGGGATAAACCCAGCAACTACAGGGAAGGTGCCAATGTTAAGAAATATATAAAATTCTTTAAGTCATGGATGCTGGTCTATCATTCCTGCATCCCTTTTGAGAGAGTAATAGAATCTCTATTTTTTTGTTTGTTTGTTTTTTGAGTGGGCAGGCTCACCAAAGCCTCCTCCCTCCTTGACAAAGGGTAGGCTGGCCCCTTCCCTCCATGAACCACCGAAGAGGCAATCTGAGTGGCCGAAGCGGCTCTTCTATTTGAAGTGGGGAATTGACATGCTGACCCCGGGGCCCCCCAGGAAGCATCATCCCCTGGCTCCACTTTCTCATAGACAGTCCTGTGGACATTTCCCATCAGATGAGGTGCAACAGAGCTTATGGAGGGTCTGCAGTGCACAGGCAGGTCTGAACACTGCCTATCCAGAGGCACAGAACTCCCATGTACTCTCCCTCTGGGAGAACAGCATTGTTAATCCTCCAATTTCCAACTCAAGAACCCAAGACATAGAAAGGGTATAGTGATCATCAGTGACAAAGAGATGGCTAAAGGCAGCCGCCACCCCAGCATCCCTCTTTCCCCCTCTGTGCCTGGCTCTGCAATGGCATTTGTCACACCGTCTTCTCCTTACACGCTGGAATCCCTCACTACACTGTGGGTTCCTGGAGGCACATGAAGGATTTGTCTTCAAGACCATTCCAGAGCCAGAACCATCCACAATGCCTGGAATGATATAGTAAGTCCTAAATAAAAGTCTAAGGGTAGCGAATGGGTAAGAGTAAAACCAAATTACAGTACAATGGGGTTTTATTATAATTTGCTCTGCACTAACATTTATGCTCAAATAAAATGTCCAGAGATAAAGCTCCAGAATCCAAACAACTAGGATAAATCACTGGCACTCTGGTATTTCTAGACAACACAGTGTAGCCCTACAATGTGTTCTGTTCCAGGCTGTTTGTGTTAGTCTCATCTCCCTACCGTAACTGTCATAAGGACAGAGTCTCCGGGATGACTGGTCTAGTGTCCCACAGAAGCCAGCATAGCACCGAGTATGAAGCAGACACTTCATAAGTATGTGTTGATAGATGAAAGGGTTTGGCCAACATTCTGTACTGCAGAGTCATCCTGTGTGCAGTTCTTCCTAGAAAGACTGTCCTCAGGGAAATCTTTAGAAAGCTGGAAAAGGCTCCATGTCTCCAGTTTTGTGAGACAGGTAGGGTTCAACCACTCCTTAGTACGATGACATAACTCGCAGCCCAGCGAATGGCGGAGCACCACATGGAGGGAGTTAACAAGCTCTCATTCCCCGGTACTTGTTGCAAAGTAAATGCCTTTCAATTACTCAGGCCTTAACATGGAAGACTAGCAAGGACTAAGAATTCATAAGGCTGCAGGATGGTGTGCAAATAAACAGAGGCTTAAAGCGTTAGTGTCTGCCCGACAGGGAGCTGGAAACAGTCCACACACTCCATCCGCACACCATGTCATCTATCGCTGCGGCCAAGAACCGGTTGGCAAGAGAGGCCGAATGCCATGTGGCAAACACATCGCCCAGCACCTGTAACAGGGCTACAGCTAACCTGGTTTTTGATGGTGTTCATTTCCAGGAGAGGGCAGCACGACTCATGTATGCTGTTCCCCCCACAATCCCTCAGTGTTGGGAAATACTGATCTTTTAGAAAGCAGTGAATGTGGATGACTAAAAAATATAAATGAAAGGACCGTGTACAGACAGATCTTCTAGCACCCGTGGCTAAGGCAAGCAAGGGTGCTCATGGGCAGCGATGGATGAGGGACAGTGAGAGAACGAAGGCCACATTTGCTGAGTTCCCCTCCAGTGGGATTCAGGATATGGCAACAATCCACTTAACTGCACCAGAGCGCTCAAAATGGCTCTCCCCCAACTCGAACAAAGAATTACCATGAGGCCAAAACAAGCTCTAAAACAGTTCTCAGGAGGAGAGGAATCTTGATTTACTTCTAAGGTCTGATTTGATGACACTTGGATGTTTTTATGCAGCACCCACGTGGCTAAACTCTCCCCTGAAATGTGAGGCTGTTTACCTCTTTCTCTTCTTTTTTTTTTTTTTTTTAAGATTTTATTTATTTATTTGAGACAGAGAGAATGAGAGAGACAGAGAGCACATGAGAGGGGGGAGTGGGAGAGGGAGAAGCAGGCTCCCCGCCGAGCAGGTAGCCCGATGCGGGACTCGATCCCGGGACTCCAGGATCATGACCTGAGCCGAAGGCAGTCGCTTAACCAACTGAGCCACCCAGGCGCCCTTTCTCTTCTTGCAATTTTCTTAGTAAACTCAGCCCTGTGTGTCCCAAGATGGAGAAAACTTCTTCCCCATCCTCTGCACTGGCCCCCCAGGCTTTCCAACGTAGCTTGAGAGCTACTCACCAACATGTCTAATTTTTATAGGATCACCAGAAATGAACCCTACCATCTACATAAAAGACAGGAGGCTACTCAACTGTTAGCATGGGCCGCTTAATCCTTTACTTGAAAACAGCTCTGTGTGGGCTGGCAACAAGGGTTTGGGGGACTTAGGGAAGAAACTGCTGGCCTCTGGTATTTCCCACCCAAGTTGGGGCCCTTTCAGGGAACTGCATTTTTTTTAGACCTGAGAGTGGCTTTGCCCTGATGCCTTTCTACATCCCACAAAGGAGCATGATACATCATCGCAGTGTCTGGTCTTAAAACATTTTTTTCTCTCTTGGTCTAAGCATTCAGATTTTTGATATTACTGTCTAAATTGGGGGGATTTCAAGGAGGTCATTTACTACAAAGAGGTCTAAAAGCTGAATTACGCCCCGATAGTGGTGCTACTTGGCTAATTTCCACAAAAGAAAATCTAAAGCTCAGAGCATATCAAATGAACACCTGAGGCTTACCTAATGGAGCACAGAAAAAGAAAAAGCCAAGGAGCATTGAAGAGTTTTTAGCAACTCAGTTCAACGTAACTGCAAAATTCAGCTCCAGACAAGTTTTTCTGATTGCAGACACTGCTCTGAGGAGGCCATCCACACCTACCAGTGAATCGAATTGCTCTCGCGGGCAAGCAAATAGGCGTCCATTAATGGTGAGCGTCGTAAATACTGAAACATCATTAGGTTTGAGCACCACCTTTTCTGTGAACATAAAAAGCATGAGATTGCCTATTAAATGCATCTGAGATTTGCTGCACTGCCCTAATCACACCAACAAATTGTCAGCTTGGTGAATTACCGGAACACGCAGAGTGACTGCATAAAATACAGGACCGAAGGGGCCCACTGAATAAAAAAGACACAGCATTCAGGCAGGCACAGGACGCTCAGGATGCCATCAGAAAATGACCACAAAACAGGAATGCAAGTAGCCGAGGGTCAATTCACCCAGTTCTGCGCTGCAACTGTAATTATCTACAAAAACTGCACTTACTATTTATATGACAAATTATGTTTCCAGATGGCAATAATGCCCAGCACTGTGGAGATGGAAAGATCATTTTTAGAAAACTTAGGGGGTTTCTGAGATCCCAAATGACTTTAGATATAAAATTCATTATTATTTTTTCACGGATTCCCTAATTTGGAGGGCAGTGGCATGACCTTTAGATTAAGCCTCCTATATTTTAAAATTAATTCATTCAACAAATATTTATTTAACATGTACTATATGCTAGACACTGCTCCAGGTGTTGAGGACACAGAAGGGAACAACACAGGGGAAAAAAAAATTCCCAATCCAAAAAGAGCTTGCATCACAGTGAGGGACGCAGACAGTGAACAAGACAAATATATGAGAGAGTGAGCAGCCACGGGGAGAAAAACCAGCAGGGAAGGAGGCTAGGAAGTATACGTAAGCGGGAGAGGATACAATTTTAGAAGGGGAATCAAAGAAAGGAAGGAGGGGGCCTCAGGCGGACGCGGACATTCGGGTGAAAACCCGAAGGAGGCAAAGGAGGGACCCCGGACAGCCGTGGAAAGACTTTGCCACAGGGATCAGTGAAGGCAGGCATCCTGGGACCTGTGTGCCTGGGACAGAAATGGGAGAGGATATCTTGGGAATCGAGGATGCATTTAAAAATCCTGCATCGGTAGAACCATTTGCCTTCAAACATGGCAAAAATGGCTTACCCGATCCTGAAGGATCCCCCTGCTGTTAAATCATTTCCAGATAAATAAGCCTTACTGCTCATTCTTTGGGCTCTCATGGCAACAGGTGCTGACTAGACTAGTTCCAAAACTCTAGCCAGCATGGATTATAATTGTTCACTTATTACTGTCTACCTCTGTGCCGGCCTGGCAACAGCCTGGGAACACGGCTGCACCCAACACATTTCTCCCGTCCCAGTCATAGTAAGTGGCCAGTGAATATATATGGCGAATGAATAAATGGCATTTCAAGAAAGCATAAGGCAATTAAGTAATCCTATGGGGAGAATATTCCTCATTTTATTCGATGAGTTGGGTTCCTGCCCTCTCTACAAGGTAAGGAGGGGAACCATCATCAGCTGGAAAGAACTAGCCTATGATCGCCTCCAACTTCTAGACTTTTGGAAACCTATGGCCCATAGCTTGTCAAGCTGTCTTAGGGTCCATATGTCGCAGAGCTCCGAGACCTTAAGCTTTTTTGTTAGGGTTTCTATAGAAAGAGCTCCAAGCTGACATCCACACCAGAGTCCTCAGCTCCAGCTGCCTCAGATAGATTGCTTCACCTCCTTCTGCTTTATAGTGGGTACCTACAAAATAGGGCATATTAGACACTCACCCAGCCCACTTCTAACCATATTATTTTGTTATTTGTGGGAGCACACAGAGCACCAATTTGTCCCTTGGATCTTCTTGGAAGGCCCATGCTAACTCCTGGCAAGGTTTCTGTTTGGATGGGATATTCCATTTTGCAGAAGCCCAATGTGCTAATTAAAGCTGTTACCTCCTCCAGAGCTCATCTTGACGATGATCAGGCCTTCCCCAGAGCCCAGTTTGTCAGCAACTGCGCTGATGACTTCCTTCACCGAGGCGGCCACTGGCACCCGAATGGTTGTGTAGGTGTGGTCCATGCAGTAGACTTTAAACAGAACTATTGGGAAGGCAGGAACAATACGGTAAATTGGTCTTGGGAGTTCTTAAGAAAACCATCAGTGATGGGAACGTTTAGATAACTTCCCAAATTTGCACCATCTTGTCACTCTTACTATTGTACCTGCCTGCAGTCAGCAATGCCTGTGCCTGCCCGCTTCCAAAACTCCTGACCTTCACACTGGTCTGAGGATGGGCACACACATGGCTGCCATCTCCAACTCAAAGAACCACAGCAGATATTTGTGGAAAACCCATTTATAAGAGATGGGGAACAGAGAAAGTACGTTTAGGCCTGTCTGCTGGGTCTGCCCTTGCCTGTGAGAGTTTCTTTCTCATAATCCAGGCAGTGCTGGGCAGTAGGCTGATTGCTAGATTGCTGCTGCCTGGCGGGGTGGTGGGGAAGCCAAAGCTAACACATCTGCAAACAGGAGCGCTTCTGCCTGGGGCATGAACACACACTGACGTTCCCGCTCACGTGTTCACCAGTTTGTGTACTTTGGGGCTGGGCCAGCATCGAGCTCAGCAAACCCATATATGGCACCTACAGGCTCACCTCTGAACACAAACCCTGGGAGCAATTCCAGCTACTGTAATCTGTGGGTTTAGAGGCGCTCCTAAATGACAAGATTCAGTTGTGGCTTAAAATGAAAATTTTGTCATTATTATTCATTCTATTTTGGTTGCGACTCTTGAGACAAATCTTAAAGAACCAAATGGTAATTGTCAGCATGTGCCCCTCCCTCCTGGCAGCTAACAACGCAGTGCTTGGGGCCAGAGTGCCTTCTCTGGGCAGGAGTCCTGCTCTGCAGGGGACCCCATGCTGCCCCTCTGCTTGGCATTGCAAAGTGCCAGCCATCTGCCTGTCAGCTCTTCCCGGAGGTGGGCGAACTTGGCAACTACTTCCTGAGATCCTCTTTCCTTCCTACAGGAAATGGTGGTAGTGAGGGAGAGGCAGAATCAGGGAAGTGTGGACAAGCACCTCCGCTCCAGGCCCAGAGTTCAAGAGGATAAATAACTGGAATGCAAAAGGGCACCTTCAAGCAAACCATTTGGGGTGCAAAGAGATAGTCCAAGAAAAGCTCTTCAGTGGGCCCAAGGGTTCCCAGGGAAGGGATTTTATTGATTTTGAGTAATCTATACAACCATGAGTTAGAAGAGAATTCTCACCTTCATCCGAGCCGCGGATAGGCTGGCGCTTTTGGGCTCTCTCATCGCCTGTGTTGAACTGTTGCAAAAGAACTTTGTGCTGTAAAAATAACCACAGCAACCACCATAAGGGGAGAATGACCGATGCACACTTGTAACTCAGAGGAAACACACTCGAGAAGCAGAGTCAAGAAATGAGAAAACATATTTTGTATTTACAAACACATCCCTTTCATATATTGCACTATAATATTTCCGGAGAACTGTTACACAACAGGGCACAATTAGAGAATCCTAATCCGTGGTCACTTACCTTCTTTTGCGGAGCCTTTGCATCTTCTGAACTACGAGAAACAGAGAAAGCACATTAATTAATACCATTGGTACTGTTATTTTGAATTGCTTCACTTGTACAGCACTTGAATCTTATATTACAAAAGGAAATGACAGCAATCCTTGGGCAAACCTCATATTAATACCAAGAGACCAAGCACAGAGGACACACGAAGAGATCGGCTTGCATCACAGGCAGACCCCTGGCAGAACTGATGTTGAAAGCCAAGATGTCTAGCTTTCAGGGTCTTCCTAGTAGCATACATTCTCTCCGGTATTTACTGAAGGCTCAAAGTACAGCATGTGAAACCTTCCATGTTTTCACTGAGGGGATGTAAACATTCACCAGCAACAGCTTTGGTGGCAGAAAGCGAATTTTCCATATAAGTAATTCCCCCTCATCTTTCTTTAAATACCACTATTTTATTACTGGATTCACTGCCTCAAACCAAAGGGACCCGAGTTTACTGAGTGAGACACCCCACAGGAGGATATCCGCCTTGTGCCAGGCTTTCTCTTGGCAGCCGTCCAGCACAAAAGGAGCGGAGCAGATTCTCCCCTCTTCACCTGGCCTTATCCCACCACCCAAGCCTGAGGCCCTGTCCACTCAAACCAGAACACCGTGTGGCTGCTGAAAAACCAGCTTTCACCTTCTGGGGGGCGAGGGACTTTTTGGAAGTTTTTTTTTTTTTTTTAAGATTTTTATTTATTTATTCATGAGAGACAGAGAGAGAGAGAGGCAGAGGGAGAAGCAGGCTCCCAAGGAGCAGGAAGCCCGATGCGGGACTCGATCCCAGGACCCTGGGATCATGACCTGAGCCGAAGGCAGATGCTTAACCATCTGAGCCACCCAGGTGCCCTGGAAGATGTTTTGACCGAGAGGCAGGCACTTACTTGATGAAAACACACCCCCAAGCCAGGCCCTTCCTTACATTTGCTTGACAATCTTCTCTAACTCGGGCAGTTGGTCCTTGAGGGCGGCAATCATCCGGGCATCATCTGATACAGACACATAAAACTCCTGTAATTGGCAAAGGTCACAGGCTTTTAATAACAATTGCCGAGGTACACGGTTCTGTCAAGAGCAACAAAGATGTGTCTCTATTCATCTGCTTTATTAGCATCTCCAGACCATGGTTGTATGGATTGGAGACCAAAAAAGAAAAAGAAAATGTTACAATATGTCTAGATTCAAAACTGCAAGTGAGAAAAGGTTTTGGAAATAGATAGTGGTGATGGTGGCATAACAGTGTGAATTAATTAATACCACTGAATTGTATCCTTGAGGATGGTTGAAAGGGCAAATTTTATGTTTGATATATTTCACAACAATGAAAAAACTCAAAAAAATTTTTTTAAGTTGCAGATGAACTGTTCATAGGATATTTTTTTTTTTTTAAATATTTTATTTATTTATTTGAGACAGAGAGAATGAGAGGGAGGAGGGTCAGAGGGAGAAGCAGACTCCCTGCCGAGCAGGGAGCCTGATGCGGGACTCGATCCCGGGACTCCAGGATCATGACCTGAGCCGAAGGCAGTCGCTTAACCAACTGAGCCACCCAGGCGCCCCCATAGAATATTTATATGAAAGGCAATGCAATGCAATGTTTTAGAATGGGTCATTTTATAGTTTAAGAGCACTCTTCACCTCAACATTTTTTCAGGGAAATTTTAACATTTATTCTGAATATTATTTTAGCATCTGTTGTTTATTTACTATTTCCCACTAGGAGTGGTTGATTTTTGGTGGTAAAATGCAGGCATGGTCTTCAGGACTGGACTGACGTTCTGCTGAGTTTGGTATCAACTCAGGACTCTTTATGGACGCCCTGGGGCCGATCCTGACCACCAGGCAGCAGCAGCTGGGCCTGCTTTTTGCTCAGGAGCAGTGGCCTCCGCAGCGGAAGATGACAGCTGTGGTGCTACCAGCTTAACCACCACTCTGGTTCCTCTGCAAGACAGTCCTTTCTTCAACTGGTAGCGGCCAGGAGTCAATGCATGACCCAAGCTACGATCGTTCCTTTATAGTTTCAAAATACTTCACTCCACAGCCTTGAGGGTCACTCACAGTCCCCTCTCCTCCCTTCCCCACCTCTCTGCCCGCCAAATTATATGATTAAAAGGGGGAAAGGGGGTACCTTTCTTTTGGATAATTCATTCTTGAACATAGAGATTGATAACGTTTGAAATAGAAGCCACATTGCCTTTTGCCTGCACTGAAGATCCTCATCTACATTTCGGAGGACAGAGTGAGTCATCAAGGACTGAATGCCAGGGCCCATGCTGCAATGTGGGGCTGGAGCCACGGGAAGGAAAAGGGAAGTTCAGCTTAAAATAGTGTTTATGACATAAATCATGTCCCTCTGGAACTACCTTATGGTCCTAGAAAGTCCTCCACAAAAGTATCTCAATAAAATTTGTCCACTCAAAAATAGGTACCATTGGATCTAGCAATCCCACTTCTAGGAATATGATCAAGGACAGGCCTACTTACACAAAAATGTTCCCTGTACTATTATTCGAGGAATGTAGAAACTGGAAATGATGTAAATATTCAACACGATAAAAAATAAGCATATATGTGGCAGAGCTACTCAAAGGTCATCAGGAATTTTTACTAGAAAAACGGCACTGACATCAAAAAGTCCTTATATAAAGTGGAAAAAGCAGCCTACAAAATGATGGGTACTATGTGATTATGACCATAGAAAAACTGCAAAGAAAAAGAGAGCAAGTGAAAATACATTACGATGCTACCAGTTGTTGAATTAGAAGGGCAGGGGGTTGGATGATGTTGTTTACTTCTCTCATAGTACCTTTCTGATGAACATGTTAACAGAATTTGCAATCACAGTCTCTCCGGGGAAGCTGTGTGCTTCTGGGGAGTCCTGGTACAGCAGGACAAAGATGTATTCTCAGAGGGAGGACTCCGCGTACCTCAAGGAAAGCCACGGCCACGTCATCCTCCTGTAGGGCGTCTCCATACACGGCGGTCCACTGCAACACCAGGCGGATGACTCGCCTCTTATTGTTGAGGGCGTAATCCATTTTCTCCTGCTCTGTACCTTGTGAAGCCTGCGCGTGGTAAGTGCCGCGGAGTCAAGGAAGACGTCTGGTCATTTCACACTCACTGCACTGAGCCACTTGTGAAGGCAGAGAATGATCCATTCCAGTTTCAGAAAGCCAGCCTTTTGGACTGATGGGACCCCTTCCTCAGGCCCTCAAGAAAAGCCCCACCCACAGAAAGATCCTGGACCAAGTGCCTAGAAAGCCTTGTTCATGTCTGCTGACTCTGACAGGGTAGTCGTCCCAGGAATAAGACTCGCATGGCTCCACTTGGACTTGTGTGTTGACAAGGGTTCCTATTGTGCCTTGCTCCAGCCCCCATCACACTCTCTGGCTGCCCTCCGCCTGGCCCTTCACTCCTTGGGGGAGGCAGTGCTCCCTGCTGTTGCTTGTCTCTCGGGGCCTTGCCAACCCTTTTTGGTTCCTATGATTCTGCACATACGTCTATAAAGCCACTTCACTGTGTACATTTCAGCAAAACCCTTCTGAGTGGGCATCTAAGTTCTGCTGGACTGATACCAAGAGTGCATGGGGCTGGAGGAAGACAGGCTCACCTAGAGTTAAGAAGAGCAAAGGTTCCTGCTGTGTGGATCTGGTGAGGGATTTCGACACACTATATCATAACGTCTTCTCCTGCCTCAAACCACAACTTAACTCATACTGGCTTTTTGTGCCTTTATGGCTAGACTTCTTAACGAAACTATAAGCTCCTGGAGGCCTCTGATGATGTATTACTTGCCTTGTATTCTGTACCATGCCCAGCACAGTGACTTTCAGCTGGCAATTGTATCTATCCATTAATCCAATAAATACTTAGTTGAGTGCCTTCTGATGTGTCAGGTAAAGGCTTCTGCTCTCAGTTTACATTCGTGTGTGTATTACAGTAGAGGGAATATAGTATGTGATCAAGAAAGATTTTAGAGGAGACACACCACTCCTTTTTCAGTGATTTATAGCAGATCATACTGCAGACAATTAGTTCATGGAACACTTTCCTCTTTATAACTTACACTGTCTCTTGCACTAGAGTACCTTAGTTAAGTTCTACTTTATAGTCTTGGGATAAAAGCATCCTTCCCTTCCTACCAGTGAGCAAACAGACTGCAAAAGCGCACAAATGGCCAGGATCACATGGTGAGACTATGGAGTTGGTTTTGAAAAAGACTCCTAATTCCAACTAGTTTTCTTCCCCATTACACAACACCCCTCCCTCTGCCTCCTAGTTGGCTACAAGACTAGCTGTGCCTTAGCTTAAGACCATGACTTCAAAGGCTCAGTAGAAAACTGCCTTGTGGCAGTGCTGTGCTTGACAGCTAAACCCGTAAAGGGCCTTTTCTAAAGAGACTATAAATAATCATGATCAAGGCAAATGACAGAACCTTAAAGCAAAGGTTTACTGCATGTAAATGGGTTGCAAAATGGCTTTCATAAATTGAGCACGGGATTCATAACAAAGAAAATTGCTCAACCCATATTGCTACAATTCTCTCTGAGCTTACAATAAAAAAAAGGGAAGAAAGATCACTTTATGTGAAAATTATTTCTTTTCTGATTAACCCTTAGGCCCCTTGCTTGTATGCACACATAACTCAGTTTTTCTTTCCAAAGAATTGCAATGCAGGCACAACATTTTATCACTATTTTTATGGGACCTAGCAACACAGTCCGGCACTTGGTGGGCACCAAATGAGTTATTCTTTACTGAAAAATATGTACTGATTCACCCAAGAGTCAGTAAGAGAGAGAGATTGAGTCTTTCTTACTTGCACAAGATGGAGACGGTTTGAACTATCAAATTTGCTATCAAGCAGATAGAATGCTAACTTTCCAGGTTATCTTTTTTTTTTTTTTTTTTTTTTTAAGATTTTACTTATTTATTTTTAGAGAGAGAGAGAGCAGGGGGAGGAGCAGAGGAGGTGGAGGAGGGAGGGGAAAGAATCTCAAGCAGACTCTGTACTGAGTGCAGAGCCTGATGTGGGACTTGATCTCAAGATGCTGAGATCAGGACCTGAGCCGAAACCAAGTCGGAGGCTTCACCGACTGAGCCACCCAGGCGCCCCTCCAGGTTATCTTGACTTGGACTCAGGAAGCAATGCAAACACTTGTGACTTGGATACAGTGATATCAGCAGCGCACCTGTGGCTAATCTATAAGGCCTTAGGACAGGATATTAAATTTACATTATCTCTATGGGTCAGGATAAAGATTTTTCGTGACTTCTTTCCTACGGGGGAAATCTGTCTTTTTTTCTACAACGAAAGACAGAACACATGATTGGAAGGATTAACATGCTAACACTATAAATGTATGTGGAGCTTTATAGTTTATAATAAATATGCTCCATGTGCTCACATGATCATATAATGCTCTCCATAAATACTTACAGATGAAACAGAGAGAAGAGATCTGCCCAAGGTTGTTCAGTGAATAAATGGTAGGCTTATAAATCCAGACAGGGCTCTTTCCATTGTCGTCACCCCCAGCCCCCCAACAGTGACTGGATGTTAGTGCTTGGGTTCATGAAATTATTGAGAATGATTAAATCTGGGAAGCAAAAATCCTGATGAGAAAGAGATTTCTTTCTTTCTTTCTTTCTTTCTTTCTTTCTTTCTTTCTTTCTTTCTTTCTTTCTTTCTTTCTTTCTTTTGCCTAAGTTCTAAGTTTCCCAGGGCTGAAGAGTACCTAAACCAGAGTTGAGTGTCCTCTGCTCTTAATGAATAGCTCCCCAGGCTCCTGGGAGCCAGCAATGACCAAATCCAGAGGGACTAGAATAAAGCTTGCTTTCTTTTCTCATGAAAGTTAAGTGTTTTTGCCTCTGGAAAAATAAAAGGAAGCACTGATTTGTTTCACCAAGTCTCCCTTTCCCCTTACAGATGTTATTGGAGTGGTGGTAATAGTATGTTTATAAGCTGAATCCAGGCATATGCGCAAGTATTCTGCCCTTCCATAGGCAACATATCGTTCCATTCCTGAACAGTCTGTTGAATCAGATTCTCAAGGGACACAAAGAAGACTTTATGTAATTGATAATACTTGAAATGGTTATAATGAGGTATTGGGGCTTCTATTGATTCCCATAATACTTTCCCCAGGCTTTTAGAAGATTTATATGATTTACTTTTAGATTTTATTAAACTCTTACAAAAAAGTGGAAAGAGGGAAAAAAAACTATATTCCCTTCAGACAGCAGCCAAAGTGGGGGGTGGGAAACAACACCCCACCAGGTCCCTTATCTCAATATGATGTAAAACAATTAAACCCCCAAAGAGTGACATTTCAAATATAGTTTGTTCATAAATTCAAACACATCAGGAAGGTTGCAGAAACTGTTACCTTCTTTGGCGCTAAAACCAGAACAATGCATTAACCACTTGATGGAGAAAGATGTATTCTTATGGGAATACAAACCTAGCTCTTCTCCAGGACAAGCAACAATTCAGAAAGGATGATCAATGGATACCACATACATAAGATACTTTTTTTCCCTCCCACATAAGATACTTTTAACAACACTATCTGAAATGTATACTTGGCTAATGTCTATGTTAAGTGTAGTTAGCAGAGAAAATAAAATACATCATAACCCAGTGATTTTGTCAAATGATAAGGAAATACATGTATTAAGTATAGCCATGACTCCTGATGTCATGACAGTTGGGTTCAGGTAAGAAGCAATATGGCTGCTTGAATTCATGACGAAAAAGACACAGAGAGATAACACAATTCTGGTGTCTCATAAAGTGCTAGATAAAAGTCCGTAAGAGAATATAGAATTATTCACTGAATTCTTATTTTAAATACAATTAAGAAAAGGCCTTAATAGTCAAAATGGCCAAAGTCATCACTGACACACTGAATGGATTTCAGATGATTCACAGAATCATAGAATCTGTGAGTTGCAAAAGCCCTTTGATTGTATCTCCAACTCCACCATTTCAGAAGTAAGGAAACTGAGGTAGAATGAGCTTAAGTGATTTTTCCAAATCTATCAATGGAATTCTTGGGATTAGAACTCAGTTCTCTTATCTCTCTCTCCAGCACATTGTTCACCTGTCTCTGTTGGCACCTTTTGTCTGATATTAATATTTCTTTATGCTAACATGTATTATGCAGCAGAATTAGGTGATTTGAAGTTTATTGGATAGTGGGGCAATCAGTCTGAGATGCAGAAATTGATCCCAAAAAGGCCTCAAAGAAGACAAAGACCATACAGAAGATCAAGCATTAATTGCTGCAGCTCTGACAATCTGATCGTCAGGAAGGCATGTCTGAATTAGAGCCTCTCTGCTATAGTTTCAACCAGTGTTCTTGTTCAGTACCTGCTGATTTAGAAAGCAGCGGGCTTGGAGGTGCCTGGCTGGCTCAGGAAGTGGAGCATGTGACTCCTGATCTTGGGGTTGTGAGTTCAAGCCCCACATTAGGCATAGAGCTTACTTCAAAAAAAAAAAAAAAAAAAAGCAGTGACTCACCACTATTAACCAAACATTCGTGAGGATTCAAATCCTAACTTGAGGTTTCTCTTGTTATGGTAATAAGATTTGTCACCATCTGGGAGCATTAAATCAGAATCCTTAACAGGAAACATAAAAAGCCTCAAATGTTTGTTGATTGACTGGTTACCTTAATTCAATTACACTGTTTGGAGTGCTATATATAATACAGTTTTCAAAAACAAACAAACGTCACAGCTCTTTAAAACCTTTATCTAAATTATCTGAAATTCTGTTTTGTCAAGATGTCAAATACAGATCATGAATACATTCTAAAGAAGTTCATATTCAATGTCATCAGGAGGACTAAGTCCACACAAGTACCAAACATCAAGGGCATTTTTGAAACTGAATCTTTTAGTTACTGGGTAATTAATCTATAGGAGCACAACCTTTCAGAACGACTAAATCTTTGTTGAATTGGACCAGTTCCTTCGGCATCACACAAACGTGACTGGGACACACTGGATCTGTTTTCAGTGAGGATCAGGGCCGAGGATCCGAAGAGGTGAAGGCCACAGTGTAGGCTTTC